CAGGAAGGTAATATTTTACACTGTGAAGCCTTCAGTTACCCTCTTGTAAAAGGTACTTGTTTATACTTTGATTTCCTAACCTACATGAGACTGCTAAACAACAGTGAACTTTAAGATTTCCTATGTTTTTATACTACTTATATGCTACAAACAATTTATATAAAGCCTTTCCGTAAAAATGCTTTAAAAAGGATAATAGTTCTTTTGCTTCAGTAAAACCCAGATTTTTCTAATTACACGTTTCCCTCGCTTTACGTGGGTTTTGTATGTGCGAATTCACTCTTATGCCATGACCCTTTTTATACCAAAAATGTGTTTTATGAGAGGTAAATTGTCTTATACTAGTGTGCTGGAAGCTCATTGCTCAGGGCAGCCAGTGCCCATGCTTCTGCAGCTGCCCCGGGAGCAGTGCAACACCATGCGCGTCCTGCCACCAGGCAGGCAGGGCGCAGCCCAGGGGTACTGCTCCTCGGACAGCTGCAGCTGGGTGCAAATCACAGTGGCAGCCAGTGGCAGTACTTTGGTAAGTACGAAAATTGTCTTGTAAGTGGTAGAAATTGGTCTGGGGGTCAGTATAGTCGAGGTCTTGGAATGTATCCCTATTTGTTACATTGTAAAGCGGGTTCCCTTTATGCACTATTTTCCAGGAACACATGTACAGCACAAAGCAAGGGAAACCTGTAGTGTTATTATTTATTGGCTGTTCTTTTGCATGTTATGACTTAATATTAGTCCGAAAAATATATTCAAGGCAGACTGATCTAAAAAAAACCAACAGAAAACACCTTTACCTGCTGTATTAGCACTTAGAAAGTAAATCTTTGCGAGTTACCCAGGTAACTTCCATATAGACAGCAAGCCAGGATAAGTTTCAGTTATCACTATGCAGTAGCGGTTGGTAAATGACTCAATACATTAAAGAGGAAGTTAAATTAAATTCCTCATGACTTTCCTCAATGCTGTTTCATACTTTTTGCCAGCACATCTAGCAAGGAAGTTTTATCAAATATCAAAGTATAATCTCTGTTTCCAATTCAAATAGACAGGTTCAGACATTCTACTGAACTGGTAGAGCATACTCTATGGAGATGATGAAAAAAGTACCTGAAAAACCACATTTAAATTTTGTAATTCTTGATTGGCTGTACATAATAATAGAGTCCTCCAAATTGAGTTAAAGCAGCCTTGAGGTTACTCTAAAATTAAGCAACTTGGCTCAAAATAAGTGATCCTGCAACTAAGGATCTCAGTGTATAAATAAATTATTGTTTTCTTCACTAGCACCAAAATGCATGACAGGCCTGGAATCGTTCCTGTTTCTCTGTAACCAGAGAAGCTACCCACCCTAAAAATGATCCTCCAAAGGCCAACTGCACCACCTAAGGGCAAGATCTGCATGGATTGTATTTAAAATAAATAAATAATAAAAAGCGAGTTAGTGCAGGGAAGAATCTGGGACAATTCTGAGTTTGAAGTTTTTCAATAAACAATATTTGATTGATTAAATTCTTACCAAAGCAGATGCAGGAAATTTGAGACTGGTGAATACTTCAACTGAGTCTAATAGTATAGCATGAGGTATAGGACTCTTGCAAATTACAAGGAAAATTGACCATTCACCAGTTGCAATGATTTACCAAAAAAATGTGGCTGCCTTCAATAATGCACTAAGATCTTAATCTTCCTTGGTCCCACCCACCCCCAAAAAACATAAGCTAATTAGCATAGCTGGCGATGGCTATGTAACCCACTTACCAAAGATAAAAAAGTTTGACTTTATCATGTCAACAGTTCTGCACTATGTTCATCCTC